GTTAGAACGAGATATGGATGTGCTAAACCCAACTACATACTAATTTCAGTAATATCTTATTTTGGCTTCGGCATGTCTAGCCGTTCGCACGAAAGCCACGAACATGTTCGCTGAATCAACAAACTATCGAAGACGGGAAAAGAAAGTACTTATTACCCACCTACCTGGTATCTATTAAGCTTCCCCGCCTCTTCAATTGCAGATTTTACTTTTAAAAGCTTGTACATACTTTGATCAGCAAACGGGGTAGATCTACCTAGATGAGCAGATGTAACCTCTACCCAAACTTCCTCTTTACGTGATTCATTCTTTCGCACGAGACTGGTATATAATAGCTGGTCATTATGCATGCGCCGGCCTGTGGGGCTTGGAGAGATCCAGCCTTACAGACGAAGATACACACAGTGCTCGGAAACATCTCGACGGAATTAAACCGTGCGACAGGAAATAAGATGCCAGAAGGATATAGTATAAGATGGTCGGGCGTCCATGAAGTCAGCCACATATTTAATTATTACCTACTAACTACATAATACGATACTAACGCTTTGGCTCTTCAATAGCCTCGCTATCCCTCGCTATCACATGGGGTTCACCGTACACTTTACCTACCCATGCCAACGGTATCACATATGTTAATAGGTTAACGGATCCCTAAACTCAATTCGTCCTCTACGAATACCTGGGCTTCGAAAATAGACACGCTTCTCTGACCATTAGCAGTTAGACGCCGCCCGCGGAAGATCCCCTGAAGGAGCCTCCACCCTCGTCTAATCCGAGCCGATTCCTTTCGGTGTCATCAACATTGCATCACGGCGGATCGTAACTACACTAACAACTACCTTTTCTTACCTCAACCCAGCTCTCAGTTTTTTGGTCGCTATGTTTCACGTGAATATCAAACATCAAGGGATCCAAGTAGTAGGGTTGTTCAGCTCTTCGGCGATATCCTTCAAATAGCATGATCTCGGTCTGTGAGATATCGCCGAAGGAATGCCAACAGATCGGCGCGCCACTCCCGTTGGGGGCTATCCCGTCTGTGACGCCAGCCTATGTAGAGAGGCTCGACGTACGTGCGTATGGGAGGAAAGCCAGCCTCTGAGTGGTCAGTCTATGCGCCCGGGGCCATGGTTAGTAATACCATATCTGCGGGTGAGCTTGATCCTTCGAATAAACTATTCACGTAAATGGGCAATTCTGTGAGCTTAATGGTTTAAATCCCAACTCGGCCGAACCCGTCCTGGCGTCAGCTTCGTCCCTGTTCACCTACCCAGTACACGGGCTCACCGGAAGCCAAATAAGTCTAGCGATGATTACCTTAATATCGTACGTAGTAAGGCTCCCCCCAAAGGTCCGTTCGCACGTGTCACTGGGATCTATTAAACTTTCTCTAAAGGCTTGGAGGCTCAAAACTAGTATCATAGAAACATGGCTCAAGTGGCCTCTTCTGAAGTTTCTCCTAGGGAATAAAATCTTTCGGCTACACGGCATAGGTAATTCATTCTAAGATCGATCACATAGACTATAGTCAGTGTTACCCGCCAATAGTCAGCGCCAGGGGCTACCAATTGGTGTGAATCGCAGGCTTTCATTACACGGCTAGGCCAATAGTTTCGATGTCAGCGTGCACTAACACCATCCCGTCTCGCTAAACTTATGGCCCTACATACCTAGAAGGACAAGGACCTTCAGGACACATCAAGGTACTTTCGTTTCTTATACTGCTATGTCGATGGGTAGGTTAGATTAGGTAGTATGAGTTTATTGAGCAATAACTATAGTTATCGACCCCAACCCTAGTGTCTCAGTCCCTCCCGTAGTACTGAGAGGCGGTGCGTAACACGAGCCCGCCTCATGGGGAAGATGCTGGCGAGACCATCTATCGCATGCGCCCTCCCCAACCCGTCTCTCTAATAGGATACCTATATTCCCCTTTCCAACGATCGGGGTAACTTGTAAGACATGGGACTTTGGGGACACGGCATATTCTGTGCGCAGTATACCACGTTTCTAGATTCCGAGAGAAAGTAGCGCGATCTGATGCGATAACCCGAAGTATCACACGTTGAGACCCGTCTGTCTCGGACGCGGATGTCACGCTCTGGAAATAAAAGCTTGTCGGTTTGCTTAAACACTGCCGCTTCCCGTCTGCGGCGGCGGCCTCCCGTTACCGCTTGACGGCCGAATCTAGATCTTGAATAGGCAGGATTTCGCGACCGAGTGGACATAGACATCTCCGAGCTTGCTCGGCGTTGAATGCTTAAGGCCAAGTCTAGCACGAGAAAGGTTTTCTTTTTTTTACTTGGTATACCGTAGGTACTTACCAGTCAGTGGAATATCACATTCTGTCATCCCTCGCGTAACGTGGCTTATGTCTCATATTGGCGCGCCTCCTTTAGAGAGCCAATCTCGTAGAAGAGTTCCTCTCCAGCTGCTGAAACACATGTGCCCTACTGGCATCACGATACCTTTCGTGGTACCAGTGCCGTGGCTCTCGGGACGAATCTGGTGTAACAGTTTCAGGGGTCGATGGCGCTTTTGCAACACGTCCGAGAAACCGACAGAGTGTTACCGACTGTGTGATTGGGCATAAATACACATCTGCAGCTAGCCTCGTGTCCGCCACGGCGGTCAGACTACGGCTTGGACAAGTATCTACGGTCACGATGCATAGGTATTTGGGGTTTACCTAGAAGATGAAAACAGAACGCCCTTACTGATATACATGATACATGATTAGTGATCCCGATAGGAAATGACACTGTCCACAACGATATAGGCTTCGTATTTCTTGGCAATAGTTCAATTAGGTACCTAACCTATGAGTTTGCCTAATAAGATTAGGCCGAGTGTGGCGTTTAAATGGATTTGAGATTTGGGGGACGTGCCTACATCAGACACGATAGTGAAGTTCTAAAGCATTTTGAATTCAACCTTCCTTGCTCCGTTGTTGGAACCCGGGGACAATAAAATGGTGGATCCCCGAGATGTGAGATGTGAAATTGCGGAGTTGAAAGGGACTCGGCGGCGGACTTGCGGACTTCACATGTCATGCTCCGCAGACCGATTCACTTTTTAGTTTCTTTCTACCTAGTTACGTCCATGCCAAGTTTATCTACCATGAGTACGGTTTACTTGTCGCTGAGAAAGTCGTCTTTATAACATATCGAAGATATTCCCCCAACTAGCGCATCTTCCTCTTCGAGCGGAATTCATGGCTCCGCGCGGAGGCTCATCTAGGCAGAAGAGCTGCAACGCCTGTGTGAGGGGCAAGCGACGCTGTGACCAGCGGATGCCAGCTTGTGCTAATTGCACCAAGAAGAAGCGCCTCTGTATCTACGGACGACAGTCGGACACGCAGTCGTACAGTAACTTTGCGGGTGTTCCGACAAGTCTAGACTCTTTCGACGGTCCTCCGTCTACGTCCTACGGTGACAGTCTTGTACTAGATGACGGCAACGTCCCTACTACTGCGGGCGTTGACGTAGATATTTCCCCTGATGAAATTATTCAACTTGATAGCACGTTTGAATCTCTACTGGGCTCGATGAATGGGCCCGGGTTTGGAGATCTACCCGGGCTGCCCGATTTCTTGAGGCAGGATACGCAGATAGTATCAATTCCAAAGAGTAAAATCCTAACTCCTCAAGACTATTCTAGGGTGTCAGCCGTATGCGTAAGTTTTTGTAAGGACCGTTTTTCACTCTCTTGGTACTTACATTAGTAGGACGATTATGCTCCGTGGCAACTTGAAGACCCTTCAACTGGAATTGCTTATGCGATGAAAACTTTCAAAAACTTTCATAAAACGATTGCTCAAGATAACTCCACTATATATATGCATCGTCACTTATATCTAACTAACACGCCACCCTATATCCTGCAAGCGTTCTCGGTGTGTGTTCTCTACACGAACCAGACGGAGGCAAACCGTGGCTTTGTTCTGAGAGTTCTTCACGAGAACGTCCATAATCTCGTAACAACAGCTAGCGGTGCATCGTTAACACCGCGGGAAAAGCTTGCGAGAGTCCACGCTCTACTTGTTTATCAAACTATTCGTATGCTTGATGGAAACGCTACTCTAGGGCAGCAAGCCGATGATGATGTACCCTTATTAGAAGCCTGGAATGGGGAGCTGCGCAAGATAAGAGATAACCTCGAGGACTTCGCTGAACTTGATGACGCTGAGATTCGTAATAAGCCACCTGAGTCTTGGGAAGTATGTGTGAACAAGTTACCCCTTAGAAAGCCTTGTGATCGCTGATATATTGTCCAGCGCTGGTTATTCGCAGAAAGTGTTAGGAGAACTTATATGATATGCGCTGCTCTCGTTCAGTTTTGGGGTTTATTGAAAGGACGGACGATACCTGGTAAGGACATCAGCATGTTAGATCTACATACCTAACTACTGGGCTCTGACATATAAACGCAGCGGATCTCGGGGACTGGCAATACGTCCACCGGTGGACCCTATCGAGACATCTATGGACAGCCACGAACCCCTTAGAGTTTCACAGGGCATGGAAAGAGAAGCCGATGTGGATCATCTCAGCCTTTTACTTCGATGAGTTTTTGCGGACTGGAAAAGGAGATGATGTGGATGACTTTGCGCTTGCTTTCCTCACATTGTGGGTTTATCAAGCCATTCCATCTCCATTATCGGCTACTAATGTCTATATCCCTAGATCCTTCGGCGTCGACGAGATGAAAATGTTTTGCTATGAGACAAGCAGACGGCTCTTAGAATAGTCGAAGGCATGGTTTGCCACAACTCCGCAGTCCGCCAACGCGGAGCGGATTATGCACAGCACATGCGGAAGATGGACGTATAGCAAAGGGTTTTATGACCTGGCCTATATCTAAGATTGGCCTCGTCTTCCTATAAGTATGGGCTGTGTCCAGCTGTAAATATCACAACTACTCTCGAACTATCACGCTCACAGACTTATCAATAACCCAACTCAAGATATAATCAAATATTAATTTCCAAGTAAACAATCATGTCGCCTATCCCCTCTCGTGAACTCGGAAAGGGCGGCCCCCTAGTCCCCCGCATAGGCTTCGGTATGATGGGCCTCTCTATGAGCTATGGCAAGCCTATGCCCGACGAGCAAAGGCTTGAACTCCTTGACCACGCCCACTCCATCGGGGAAACTTTCTGGGATACTAGCGACTTCTACGTAAGTTCTTGCCCTTGTATTAACTAACATCCGGCGGATATGCCCGCACATGTGTGTCTACGGGACTAACGTAGAACTATACCTACCAGGGAGATTCGGAAGATCTGATAGGGAAATGGTTCGCCAGGACTGGCAAGCGCTCTGATATCTTCCTCGCTACCAAATTCGGCGGTATACTACTAGGAGAAGGGGGCTTTGCTTTCCGCGGCGACGCGGCATATGTCCACGAGGCGTGCGACAAGAGCTTGAAGCGTCTAGGCGTAGACTACATCGATCTATGGTATCCGCACCGGCTGGACGGCAGCACGCCGGTTGAGCATATCGTAGCTGAGATGGTCAAGATGAAGGAGTACGTCTGCTTGATTACACCTGCGTTTATTATATATATCCCCGCTCCGTTCCACTCTTACTTGTAGGAGATCTGAATGAATTGGAAAGCCTAGCAAAGCTAACCTAATCGAAAAGACAAGGCAAAATCCGCTACCTAGGCTTATCTGAAGTATCAGCAGCGACACTACGGCGTGCTCATGCCATACACCCGATCAGTGCTGTGCAAGTATGAGCCGTACCTACCTACCCCTATTTCCCCGTTCAACAACACCCAAGCCAAAGAAATCGTCTAACTTAAGTACCTAACCTACCTAACCCAGGTCGAATACAGTCCCTTCACAACCGAAATCGAGGACTCCCAAACCAACCTCCTCGCCACATGTCGGGAGCTCGGCGTCGCCGTCGTAGCTTACTCGCCGCTCTCGCGCGGCCTCCTCAGCGACCGCATCAAGAGCCCAGCCGACTTCGAAGCGGACGACGTCAGACGCTACTACCCGCGCTTCTCGCCGGACAACTTCCCCAAGAACATGGCTGTGGTCGAGGAGCTGAAGACGATGGCGGCTAGAAAGGGGTGCACCGCCGCCCAACTGGCGCTCGCGTGGCTGCTTAGCCAGGGAGACGACATCTTCCCGATCCCGGGGTAAGTGAGACAGGCGTGGCTCGTCCGAAATTCCCCGTCACAGCTTACCTATTTTATCATGAGAACAAAATTTTTTTTTAACGGAACCACGCTGCTTCTAGGACTACGAAAACTGCGACGTTGGACGAGAACTGCGCAGCTGCGTCGATCTCGCTCTCGACGGAGGAGGTTGCGCGGATCCGGACCCTCGTCGAAACTGCCTCGTGTCCCGGCGCCCGTTATCCGCCGGAGCATAGTCTCGCTCTGTTCGCTGATACACCGCTGCCCGAGGATTATGCCCGAAACAAGGAGGATCGTGGTCGGGTTTTGATCACCGGCACCATATATAAACCAAGCACGACTACGGATCGTGACTGAAGTGGAGGCACAAACAAGTTACATCGTGGGTTCTATATTATTAGGAGTAGGCTATACGTGGATAGTTATATTGTTTAACCGTATTAAATACATTAGCTTGCCACTCTTACTCCTATTACCTTAGGTACTTTTATTGGCACATTATATCCGATATATCTCAACGTTGCTTCTCCCTAAGCTATTTCTTCTAATAGTCCATACCTGCGGTGAATCAGCTCCCTTGCGTGTCTTGACTCACCAATGAGAAGGCGAGATAATAGGGCGCCCAAGAGCCATTTATTCTACGGAAGTATTGGAGACAAGACGTGGTAAGGAGACCTTGCAGGAGGTGGAAATCTACAATATCCACCTCTTAGAATAATGGCAAAGTGTATACAAACTCTATACTGCGTACTGTATGCTATAAGGAGCTGAATAAAGTTAAGAAGCGTCTGACACTAATCTTAACAATATCCATCTAGTGCCAGAGTACATGGTGTGTAATATTGTATTCCATAAAAATCCATCGCTATCGCTATGCTAAGTTTATCCAACGGTAGAACTATTGACGAACTTACACGGTGTATTCTACGCTGTATATACCAAGATCGGCAGTAGCTCATAGCTTAGACTTGACCTTATCCCACAGGCCGAACGTCTCCAATCCCGCGTCCCCGTCAAAGATATCCCTCTCGACTTTCCTAAAGTTGATCTACACGGTATGTGTAAGCTAGCTTTCCTCTAGAGGGATGGGAAGTACTTACGTGTCTTGGACTCAGGTCGCTCACTTTCTCTACTCCAAGTAACCTCATACACGTCTCTGTCTCCGCCTTGAGGACTATTTGAATCACGTTGTTAGTTAAGTTCAACCCAGACAACAAGCCGGAAAGCTCGTTAAAAGAAAAACTTACTCTCCAACGTCCTCTCAACACCCTTCTGCCCACCGGCCCCGAGCCCGAATAGAGCAGCTCGGCCAATTCCCACAGCTCGGGCACCCAGGCAGAGCGCCTTAACCACATCAGTGCCGCGCTTAATGCCGCCATCAACCCAGACCTCGATCTGATCAAATACTTGCGGGCAATGCTTGCGGATCTCGAGTAGGGTATGTACAGCAGGTGGCGCGGTATCCAGCGCGCGCCCACCATGATTCGACAATATAACGGCCTTAACCTGCGGCGCATACTTCGCCGCGAGGAACGCGTCCTCGTGCGTCTGTATGCCCTTCAGCACAATCGGCAAATCCGTGTGCTTCGCCAACCACGGCAGCGTAATCTTCCACGTGAGATCCGACGCCGTGCCGAAGAAGAGCTGCTGCCCCACGCCACCACCGCCGGGCCGGTTGGGCTCATCCGAGGTCTTGACCCCGGAGGCGACCTTGACGGCGTTCTTGAAGCTCTGCTTCTCGTCGAGCTCGCGCTTGCCGGGGACGGGCGCATCCAGCGTCAAGCAGATGAACTTGAACTTATCGGACATGCGATTGATGCGGGCCAGCATGGCTTCGCTCTTGGCCCGGTCGTTCTGCACGTACAGCTGCCAACCGAAGATCTGCCCTGGTATTGCGTCTGCGACAATTTGCTCCGGCGTCATAGAAGCGTTGTTCGAGATCACTTGTAGCGCGTTGAACCGGCTACAGGCCCGAGCAATGCCGGCCTCGCCATCGGGATGGCCTAGCCGGGCCATTGCGGCTGGCGCGACGAATATCGGTATGTCGACCTTGTGTCCCAGCAAAGTCGTGGAAGAATCGCATTTAGTGCAGTCGATGAAAACTCGCGGCCGCAGTAGGATGTCCTTATAAACGGCATTATTGAAAGACTTGGAAATTGTATCGTCGCTAGAAGAGTAGTAGTAGGCCCATGCCTTTTCGGGCATGCGCTTCGTAGCGACCTCCTCGATCTCGTTGAGATTCAGTAGACTCTCCATAGGCGGCGGACCTTCTACGTCCTTCTTTTCCTCCTTAGCAGCTGGCTTGCTGACCTGGACTATAGTCTGGGGGTCAATTCGGCCCAATTTGGCCTCAGGCTTGAGATTTTCCTCTAGTGTACCCGGAGGGTGTATAGGATCGTACTCGTCCGTTGCATCTCGGCCGGCGAGCTGTAAGATGATCTTGGAACCGCCGGGGTGCGACGGTAGGAACTCGGTTACATCATAGACATTCCCGTATAACACCACCCAACAACTCTCGGGTGTGGTATGCTTCACGACTGAGAAGCCGCACATACGATGGTTAGCCAAGTACAATAGCCGAGGGAATAGAGGAGGGTATAAGTGCTAAGAATACCTAGAGTTATGGGAGTTTTATCTTACCTTCCTCGGCACTAATGAGCTTTTCTGCCATCTTCATAACATAGCAAAACGATAATGTCCAAAAATACTCACCCCAATTGTTTTTTTCCTTTGTTTTGTTAAAAATATTAGAATTGAGAAAGAGCTCTCGGTGATATTTAACCCGCGGCAACCCGGAGCTCAATCAGCATCCCCCATCCCCCAAGCATGTATAAGTTAGCGACCCCGCGACTCCAGATAGTGGACTTGGTGGACATAATGGGGATGGCCCATGGGGGCTATTACTATTTCCATAGTTTCCATTGGCTACGCGACTAAATCCCGGAGCCTCTAAGCTGCTAAGGGGCAGACTACTAGGGAGACCCAAGTGCTTGGAAGCACCGTTAATTCGCTCCGCTGAAAAAGCAACAAAGAGCTATATTCAGGGGCAGGTTTATTGTACATACATTAGGTACCTAATGTACTAGGTATTAGTCTGTCTAGAGCCAAGGCAAATATATTAAGAGGCTGTTTGTAAACATAAGCGGTGCTTTGCTTATGGCCCGTGACATCTTAGCACATAAGCAGGCTTAAATTTGACTCGCTTGTGGGGGAATCCCCAGTATAATTCAGACCAATTAGAGCTAACCTTAATAGCCATAAGTCGCTGTTTGTTTGTGGTTTTATGCTTATCTAAATGATTTAAATGCTTATTTATTAATTTTAAGATGAAGCTATTCCCAACCTCGTTGTCGCTATTGCTAAAATTATGAATATACTATTCGCTAAATGCGCTATAATTACAGCGTACGCCTTCACTAATATATCATTATAAGGGGCTATCAAGTGCGCTGTAAATTTTTCACTAGTGCGCTATAATTATAACGCGTTTAATGGGCAATAGCGCTGTAAAAGCCATTAGCACAATTGATCAGCTTCGAAAAGCACCTCTGTTGGTACGTTTCCAATTCAGCAAAAATTTAGCAGTAGATTTAAAGCCTAGGTATTGGATGGAAAAGAAAGTATTTTGTAGCACTCCACAAGCAAGATTATGGTAGGGATAAGTTAAGCAATATCTATCTCCAAACGCATTGCTAATGCTTATGCTTACCCCCTACAAGTTTTTTCATGCTTATGTTTACAAACAGCCTCTAAGTATCTTCGACAAGAGCCAGCTCGGGTTCTAGACACTTAATTGCTCATCTATATGAGATCAAAACTCGATAATGATTTATTATCGTGCCATCGTTCAACTATAACTTTACACCATACACATTACGTCTCTGGCTGGTACCTTCATCTACATAAACGAGCTTTCCATAACGAGACTCTAGCCCTCGTTACGGATTACACCAAAACACCGGCCTCTCGTATGTAAGCCACGTACCTAATCCACCGAATCCATAGGTAGCTCTCACGAGGTCGCCTTTATAATCCTCGCCCCATGCTCCGCAACGCCATAGACCGTAGCCTGCGGATTCGTGCGAGGCGTAATAGGGATGACGCTCGCGTCGCAGACGCGTAAGTTCCGCGTCCCGTACACGCGCAGCTGCGCATCAACAACGCCCCCCAGCTCCCGCGGGGCCATGGCACACGTGCCCGTGAAATGGTGCGCCCCGACCGCCGTCTTGCGTATATACTCCTTCGCCGCGTCCAAGTCCGCGAAGCTGCCCAGCAGCGGCGGCGCCGCCGGCGTGCGTCTGCCGTCGAGCTTCAGCGCGCTGGCTAGGGGTTCGGTCTGGGCGAGTTTCTCCGCGAATTGCAGGTGACGCGCGAATACCTCGAGGTCGAGGGGGTGGCTGAAGTATTTGGGGTCGATGGCTAGGGCTGGCGAGGAGTCGCCGGAGGCTTTGGTGATGTGTACGGAACCGCGCGAGAGCGGGTGTGCTAGGAGCAGGACGAAACTCAACCAACTTTCGTCTCCGGGAGGCGGGCCGGCCATCGTCCCGTCGCCGTTGGATCCTGCGTAACCGGGAATCGCGAGGTAGCATCCGGACGCCTCGGTAGGCGACGTGAGGATGGACCGGACAAACGATTCGTGGGCTTCTGCAAGCGATGTAGGTTTGTCGGGGACTGTAGAGCTCACACTTTGCAAGATTTTATCGAGTTCCTGTTTTCCCTGTTCACTCGTTACCCCCGGAAATGGGAGCTGTGCAGCTATATTCGAATTGCTCTTGGCAAAGGGACCTTTTTGTTTTGAGTAAGCTTCCATGGCGGCACCGAGGGCGGCCTGATCTTGTCGGGCAAGCTTGTCTATAGTCTCAAAGCCGGCTTGTCCTCGAGTTTCGAAGCTCAAGGTGATCAAGGGGTGGTTCTGAAGGTTCTCTCCAACGTTTGGATTGTCAACTACAACATCGATGCCAAGTGACTGTAGGAGTTTCGCATCGCCAATACCCGAAAGCTCCAATACCTTAGGCGAGTTGATCGTGCCCGCCGAGATTATAACTTCTTTGCGAGCTCCCACAATTTTCGTTTCCCCATCTTTATTAACTTGGACGCCGGTAGCTACGGGAATATCTGACTTGTCGAATATGATCTTCTCCGCCAAAGCCTTTGTCCAGATAGTGAGATTGCTCCGAGGTCGTGCGGCCTCGAGATACGCATTTCCGACGTAGCTCCTCTGTTTTGTAGCAGGATGTAAGGAATCTGTGACGATCAAGCCACCGGAAAGCTGCCCAGAAAACGGGTCATCGTTTACTGGGAAGCCGAGCGCAGTAAGCGTTTCTCTCCAAACCCGCGGCCATTCGGTATCTTCATCAGGGACCGCAAGCTGGATCGGGCCCTTAGCGTCTGTCCCCTCCGAAGGTAAGCTATACGCCTTTTTGAAGGACTCAGAGAAGCTCGACCAACCCCACCCCGAGTTTCCTAGAGCTTCCCAAGCATCAACGTTAGCTTTAGAGGTTATACTGAAGGCCAGGCCATTCAGCGCGCTAGATCCCCCAAGTAAGCGGCCTAGGGGGAACCAAATCTCTCGGTTTTCAAGCTCGTTCTATAAAGACGTTAGAAAGCGCAATATAGACGCTAATAAGGTATACATACTTGAGGTACAGTCCTGAAACTATATGCGGAAGGTGTATTAAGTAAAGTAGGCCACATAGCAGGGACGTTGACTCGGGGGTCGGCCGTCTGATCTTCACCTGCCTCAATAACGAGGACCTGGACGGCGGGATCTTCTGACAGCCGAGATGCTAAGACAAGGCCCGCTAGTCCTCCACCGACAATAACGAAGTCGAAGCTTTCGGACGCCATGGTGTCTACACGATATGGTGAAGTTTAAGTCTCGTTACGAGAAAGCATAGAGTAAATCTGAGTAAACTGGCCACTGGAAGAACGAGCAAAATAATATGGTCAGTGTAATGCACATGGCTTACATACCTAGGTAGGTACCTGCTCCCTTACGTAGCACCGGGGATCATGCGGTATACGTTCACCCTCTCGTACAGTGGTGACCTGGCTGGTGCTAAGGTACCTAAACTAAAGAGAACAGGGGTCTTGTGCTTCCCACTATGAAAGAGGGGAAACGTGCAGATGGGATGGGGTCGTAATCCGCTGTGATATTCTAGGGATATGCAATATCCCGCTTATACCCATTTGACTAATAAGTCGTATGTGCTCAGCTTCAATCTCAATAGTATCATTGTGGTGCTTTTATGTAGGCTTCCAAGACAATAATACGTAAATTTCGATTTTTTTTTAATTTAACAGGTCTACGAGATCGTATTCCGTCTCCGTAATGCTAAAGTAAATATGTTGTTGTCAATTCCCGAATCAAACAACCCTCAGTCGAGTAGATACGACTAGTAATATATAACCAACCTACCCAATTACGCAGCCGAGAACGGCCAGCCATTAATACCAGTCGTAAACTGTATCCCCGACTCTATAGCCTTAGCTTGTCCCTTCAGCTCGTCCACATCCCAATTAGCCCACACGGCGCGGCCCTTCAGGAAGCTGGCTTCGGGGCTAGATAGCCATACTAGAAAATGGGCCGGGAGTTGGGCTAAACCGAGCAGGTTACTTATCAGCAACACATATAGGTAACCAGACGAAGTTAGAAGGCTTCAAACTCACGTTTATCCAAAGGCACAGCCTCGGCCTTCGCGCCGCTCTTCCTGAAAATATCCGACTCGATCAGACCAGGGTGCACCGTCGCCGCGAATACATTCGGCTGCTCCGCGGCCAGGAACTCGATGATCTTGGTCTCGGCGAGCTTCGACGCCATGTACGCAGACAAGCCGGGCAGGACCGCGCTAGGGAGCGCAACGGTGCCGGTGTTGAGAGCTAGGATGGTGGCATGTGTCTTGTTCGCGGTAGGCAAGAAGGTCTTGATGCTAAGGAATGTGCCTTTGGCATTTGTCTAGCAAGTGTTAGTTACCTTAGGTAGGTACCGAAGGTTTGTTATCAAGATGTGAGGGTATGCATATATTAGGGATAGCTCGCATTACCTCGAAGCTTTGCCACCACTCGTTAGTATCCGAGGAGGCGATGGGGCCGGGAGTAGAGACATAACCGGCGGTATGGATGAGGATATCCCACGATCCTACTTCGGCCGCAACACGCTGGAGCGCGTCTTCTTGCGTAACATCTACTGCGAAAGTCTGAGCCGAGACGGAGTTAGGAAGCGCAGAAGCTGCCGTCTTGATGGTCTCCTCGGTGCGGCCCAGGAGTACGATGCGAGAAGCCCCAGCTTCGGCAAATGCGAGCGCGGTTTCGCGGCCAACGCCACCCCCCTATAAGATGTATTAGATGGCGGAATAAAAAGCTAGCTGGGTAGGTACTAGGTAGGTAGTTAGGCTAAGCTCACAGCGCCGGTAATCACGACAGTCTTCCCCGCGGCACTAAGCTCAGGCCGTTTCGGAGAGATAGCTGCGTAAGTATCGTTGTGCCAAGTTGGCGTCGGGGACGGCACAGGAGCTGCCATTCTTTCGATATTTCGCGTTGGTGTTTGAAGAAGCACAAACAAATCGGCAAGTTATGGGAACCTAGAACGAGCCCGATATCCAAAGGCCCAAGGGGGGTTATCGTATTATATGATAGGTATATTATACTTCTCGGAGACATAGAACTAAAACCGCCGGTACTCTGGCTTCATAATCAAGACTTCGGAGGCCGTTAGGTGCGGGGCGCGCCGTGTTTGTTAGCTGTAAGTGTAAGTGGGATGTCGCTGACGTAGTAGCGCTATGGAACGAAGGACGCCTACTACCTATGCGCCGTGATTGCATAGGTTAGGTACCTACCTAGTGGTATTTCTTTGCGCAGCCCCTGAGCTGCATTAACTCCGGATTACAATGACAAATCTGACCACTGGAGAGCTATCCCGACCAGGTTAGATACTACACTATCAATAAACCGAGGGCCCCCCCTGAGGGGGACCGCAAGATCCCGACTTTTAGAAAGGCTCAAGGCAAGGCTTATGTCATCATATTACGTCATCCCCGTCCCCTCCGAAATTTAGCCGCTTATTCATCCTCTCCCCTTCCCCCTTCCAGGGTCACGTGCCGCCACTGCCGGGCCGCGGGGGGGGGGGGGGGGGGGGGGCCCGCCCCCCCCCCCCCCCCCCCCCCCCCCCCCCCCCCCCCGCCCCCCGCCCCCCCCCCCCCCCGCGCCACGCAGC